CCTGAGTGTGAAGCCAGAAATAATCCCTGATCTATCACCAGGTGTCCCCCCCCCCGCCAAAAAAAAAAAAGGATAAAAAAATAAGTTATTTAAATTCGATGATTTTTTTCACACTGAAGTTGCTGAATACAAGGACACAGAAGATGCCCGTGGGCCAATCTGCCACTCTGTCACCAACCACAACCATGACAATGTCACAGTCGCCATCAGATCCATTCATGGGTTGAAATCAGCATTTCTCAAAGCATTTCACAGGGCATGCATAGGTCCCCTCCATACTCCAAGTGTGTATGTGTATGTGTGTAGTGGACACACAGATGAGCATTCAGGGGGGTGGAGTGACAGTACAGAAGAGACACACTTGCCACGCACGTGGCCGATAAGGATATGATCCCTGGTAGCACATCCGGCCCCCTGAGCTCATCAGAGCACTGAGCCAGGAGTCAGCCCTGAGCACTGGTGTGACCCAAAAAAATCACACACAGGGGCTGGAGTGATAGCACAGCGGGTAGGGCGTTTGCCTTGCACGTGGCCAACCCAGGTTCGATTCCCAGCATCCCATATGATCCCCTGAGCACCGCCCAGGGGTGATTCCTGAGCACAGAGCCAGGAGTAACCCCTGTGCATTGCCGGGTGTGATCCAAAAAGCAAAAAAAAAAAAAAAAAAAAAAAAACCACACACACAAAATGAAAAAGATTATGTTAATGAGAGGGCGCTAAGGCAGAAGTCAGCCAATCAGCAAGATGGGAGGGGCCATCAAGGGATGGGTGCTTGTCTTATTTTATTTTATTTTTTTTGCTTTTTTTTTTGGGGGGGGGTCATACCCAGAAATGCTCTGGGGTTGCTCCTGGCTCTGCACTCAAGAATTGCTCCTGGCGGTTCGTGGGGGATCATATGGGATGCCAAGGATCGAACCCGGGTCGGCTGCGTGCAAAGCAAATGCCCTCCCCGCTGTACTATTGCTCAGGCCTCCAGGTGCTTGTCTTGCACTAGATTGCCCTGGGATGTATCTCCAGCGTCCTGTAAGTTCCCTGGAGCACCTCCAGGAGAGATTCTTGTGCCCAGAGGCAGAAGGAAGCCCTGGGTGTAGCCCCAAAACAAAACAAAAAAAAGGTAGCAAAAAGGTTGAGAACTGGATGTCCCGGCCAGGAGACTTCCTGAGATGCAGTTACAGAGCACAAGTCTTGCCGAGGGCCTGGCTCTGGGTTTGATCCCAAACAGCCAAAAAAGGGGGAAAATCAGACGTTTAGGGTTGTTCTGGATGGTGAGGTAGTATGGGCTGCCCATGTTCCTCCAGAAAATATAAATGGTGCGTGTATAAATTATGGGCTGGAGCGATGGCACAGCGGGTAGGGCGTTTGCCTTGCAAGCAGCCAACATGGCCGAGCCGGGTTCGATTCCTCCGCCCCTCTCAGAGAGCCCAGCAAGCTACCGAGAGTATCTCGCCCGCATGGCAGAGCCTGGCAAGCTACCCATGACGTACTCGATAGGCCAAACACAGTAACAAGTCTCACAATGTTACTGGGCCCACTCGAGCAAATTGGTGAACAATGGGAAGACAGTGTTATAAGTCATGCCTAGGGCCTGTGACCTCAAGTCCAGGCCCAGTGTCTTTTTTTTTTTGGCTTTTTGGGTCACACCCAGCGATGCACAGGGGTTACTCCTGGCTCTGCACTCAGGAATTACTCCTGGCGGTGCTCGGGGGACCCTATGGGATGCTGGGAATCGAACCCTGGTCGGACGCGTGCGAGGCAAACACCCTACCCGCTGTGCTATCGCTCCGCTCCAGCCCCCCAGTGTCTTAAGAGCGGGAAAACCAGACACCCATGGTGGTGACAGTCCAGACACGAAGGCTGCGATGGCAGAGAGGTTGCTGGGGAGGGCGGGGATGGGTGGCCACCATCAGACATGTTTGGAAGAAGGATGGACCCACTGGGGCATGTGGAGGGCCGGGCCTTGTCACCCCTAGACTCCAGGACTCAGTTCATTTCATCTTTTTATATTTTTGTTTTTTTTTTTCTTTTTTAGGGGTGGGGTCACACCCAGCAATGCTCAGCTCAGGGGTTAGTTACTCCTGGCTCTGCACTCAAGAATTACTCCTGGCAGGGGCTGGAGCAATATCACAGCGGGTAGGACGTTTGCCTTGCACACGGCCAACCCGGGTTTGATTCCCAGCATCCCATAGGGTCCCCTGAGTACCGCCAGGGGTAATTCCTGAGCGCAGAGCCAGGAGGAACCCCTGTGCATTGCCGGGTGTGACCCAAAAAGCAAAAAAAAAAAGAATTACTCCTGGCAGTAATTCTGCTTGGGGACCATATGGGGTGCCGGGAATCGAACCCAGGTCGGCCACGTGCAAGACAAACTCCCTACCCACTGTACCATCGCTCTGGCCCCATTTCATCTTTTTATAGTGGGGTGAGAGGCAGTTTCAAAAGGCAGTTTCAAATTCGAAGTGCTCAGGGGTTGCTCTTTTTTTTTTTTCTTTTTTTGGTCACATCCAGTGATGTTCAGGAAATATCCCTGCTCTGCACTCAGGAACTACTCCTAGTGGAGCCCAGAGGACCCTTTGGGATGCTGGAGATGGAACACAGGTAGGCCGGCCGTGTGCAAGGCAAATGCCCTCCCTGCTGTACTATCAGTTCAGCCCCATCGGGGGTGACTCCTTGGTGTAACCGGGTGCTCATGATCACCATGATCACGCTCGACTCGGTGCTCAGGGGTTACTCCTGACTTGGTGCTCCGGGATCACTCCTGGTGGAGCTCGGGAGACCCTTTGCTGGGGTGCTGGGGACTGAACTTAAGGAAAGCACCCTCGATGTACTAATTCTCCAGCCCAATTCATTTTTTTTTTTTTGGCTTTTGGGGTCACACCTGGCAATGCTCAGGAGTTACTCAGGGCTTTGCACTCAGGAATTAATCCTGGTAGTGCTTGGGGGACCCAATGGGATGCCATGGATTGAACAGGGGTCGCCCTCTTGCAAAGCAAGCGCCCTACCTACCTGCTTTGCTATCCCTGCCCCTCCAATTCATTGCGTTAAGTGATTATGTGTTAAGACGATGTAAACTCAATCCCAGGCAAAATATGGGGTTCCTGATCCGAGGGGGCCAGGGCTGCTGCTCAGGGCACCCCTCTAGAGCCCAGGACACCGCAGCTCTCAAGGCAGGCAGTTCTATGGTGGAGGTACCCGGGGCTCTAGGGTTTTCTACAGTTTCTGGTGCTGGAACTTCGTTTTGTTGTTTTGGTCAGTGCTGGGGATCAAACCCAGGGACCATGCCAGGTTGGCCATGTGCAAGGCCAGCACCCTACCTGCGGTGCTAGCTCTGTGGTCCCCCCTAGACCTGACCCCCAAGCACTACATAGGGTCTGGTGGGCATTACCAAAAGCAAAACAAAACAAAAGCAATCAACCCCTGGAACCCCTCTGAACTGGTCTCTGCGTTTGGGACCAACAGGTCCAACCAACTCATCTCAAGTGAACCCGTGAAGGTGGAAAGCGGCCAGGGGGGACTGTCCTCAAGGAAGTGGATAAACCCGAGCAAGTTGCAACCAAGGTCAGGGGTCAGCTGAAAGGCACAACTGCATCCCTTGCAAGGTCAGCGCAGGAGGTGGGGGCTTTGCAAACGACTCATAGGGCTACTGCACTGGCCGTGCATATGGAAACATCCCAGGCCATCCCTGGCATCAATGACTCAAGCCCCGTGCCTGGCTGGTTGTGCCCCCCAAAACCACCAAAAATATAGGTAAGGGCTTTACAGATGGGGGGGGGGCGTCAGAAACGGAAGTGAGGGGCGGAATGATAGTACAGCGGGGAGGCTGTTTGCTTTCCACGCTGCCGACCCCGGTTTCATCCCCGGCATCCCACAGGGTCCCCCACTCACCGTCAGGGAGTAATTTCTGAATGCAGAGCCAGGAGTAACCCCCGAGCATTGCCTGGCGTGGCACCCAAACCAAAAAGAGACAAGCAAAAGAAATGAAGTGAGTGGAATTGGGGTAGTGTAGAGTATTATTCTCAGCTACCCCCCTTACATCCGCGGTACCCCCGAACACGGGGAGCCAGGACTGAGCACCCGCAATGCGAGACCTGAGAGATAGTCCAGCGGGGAGGTCTCACGCCTTGCACGAGACTGATCAGGATCCCTGATCGCCAGCACCCGAAAGGGTCCCTGGAGCGCGCCGGGAGTGACCTGCCCAGGAGTCAGTTCCGCACACCCCCTGGTATGCCCCCCAAAACAAAAGAGGCGGAAGTAGAGGTGCAGGGGGTCCAGCCGTGGCCCCAAGTTGGGGAGGAAGAGTGTCAATTTGGTGACCGTCCTGGGGACCAAGGCTGGCCACCCGAGCCCCGGAAACTGGCTTCCCTGACAGTCGGCAGAGGAGCCGGGTCTGGGGCCGGGGGGGTGCGTCCCGCCGGCGGCCGATCTGGCTGGAGGAGTGCGGGGTGCGGCTGCAGGGGGCCCCCGCCGCACCCCTCCACCCTCCGGGAGCAAGCCGCAGTGGGGAGCGGGGTGCAGGGCGCTCGGCCCTGGCCCCGGAGGGGGCGAGGGGCCGCGCCTCCCGCCCGGGCATCTGCGCCCCGGAGCGCCGGCCACGCCCGCACGTGCCGCCGCGCCCCGCCCCGCCCCGCGCCGGCCCCACGTGACCGCGCCCCACCCCGCGCGCGCGTGCGCCCTGGCCCGACGCCCCATTGTTGGGCGCGCGCGCGTCACGGGGGCGGGGCCGGGGCGGGCCGGGGCGGGCCGGACGGAGCGCGGCGGGCGGGAGCGAGGCCAGGAGCGTCCGCGCCGCCGAGCCCCGCCGCCGCCGCCGCCGCCGCCGCCGCCCAGGAGCCAGGCAGAGTCGCCGGCCCGCGCCGGCCCCGCGGCCCCGAGCACCGCGCGCCCCGGCCGCCCGCCCGCCCGCCGCGCCCGCCGCCCGTCCCCGCCGCTGGATGCAGGCGGCCGGCGGCCGAGCTCGCAGACGCGGAGGGCGGCGGCGCGGGCGGCGGCGGCGGCGGCGCGGGCCCGAGCGCTAGTGCCCGCCATGCCCGGCTCCCTGGGCCGGCCCGACGGCGGGGACCGGAGCTCGGGCCCCCCGCGATCGCCGCCGCCGCCCGCGCCCCCGTGCGCGCCCGACAGCGCCCCGGAGGCCGCGCCCGACGACGACGCGGCCGCCGCGCTGCGCCTGGCGCTCGACCAGCTCTCGGCGCTGGGGCTGGGGGGCGCGGGGGACCCCGACGACGACGACGACGACGCCGAGGCGGCGGCGGCGGTGGCGGCGGCGGGCGGCGGCGTGGCGGGGGCGGAGGTCGGCGCGGCGGCCGCGCCCCCCGACGGGCCCGAGGCGGGGGCGCCCCTGAGCGCCGTGGCCGTGGCGGTGACCCCCGGGCCGCTGCCGCTGCTCGAGCCTGACCTGAGCCCCCCGCCGCCGCCGCCGCCGCCGCCCGCGCCCCGGCCGTCGCCCCCCGACGTGTTCGCGGGCTTCGCGCCCCACCCCGGCGCCCTGGGGGCCCCCGCGCTGCTGGCCGAGCCCATGAGCGTGATCGGCAGCCGCAAGAAGAGCGTGAACATGACCGAGTGCGTGCCGGTGCCCAGCTCCGAGCACGTCGCCGAGATCGTGGGGCGCCAGGGTGAGTGGCCGCCGTCGGGGCGCCGCCCCGTGGGGGCGGGGGTGCGTGCAGGGTGGGCTGGGGGTCCCGCGGTGCCGCAGCTGCGCGCCCGGCCCGGGAGCCGCCGCCCGTGCGCCTTTGTCTCGCCTCCGGTCAGCGGGAGAAAGTTGGGCACACCCGCGACCCTCCCCGCGGCGCTCGGGGGGGCCGCCGCCTTTGTCTGGGGCTCCGGGGACCTGGACCCCGGCCGCCCCCGCCCCGGCCAGCCAGCGGGGCTGCCGGGACCACCCCGAGGGGCTCTGGACACCCCCAGCCGGCGTGGGGCGGGGCACGCTGGGATTCGGGGCGCCGGTGCAGAGAGATGGGAGGGGAGGGGGCGTCCGGGGGGGTCTAGAAGTTCGGGGACCGAGGGGGTCCCCCTTTACTTGCCCGCATGAGGGCCCTGCTGGGGGGTGTGGCGGCCACTGGAGGAGAGAGGTTGCCCAGCCACCCCACCCTTCGCCCCCAGTCGGGGATGTGGGGGGCCTGTGTCAGGCCCCGCTGTTGGAACTGCCTCTGGGGGTTGGCATCCCCCCCCGCCGCCCGCGGGCAACCGAGCCGGACTGGGGGGGTCCCGGCAGAGGCGTTGTCGGGGTCCCTGTGGTAGCCCCCATTGTTCTCTTTGTTAGCAGAGCCAGCGAGAGTGACATCAGGCTGGCGGCCGTTCATTGGCCCCGCGGCGGCAGGGGGCGGGCGCTGGGCCGGGCCCAGCCCAGGACACGCCCATCTCCGCCCTCCAGCCGGAGTCCGCCAGGTCTAGAACTTGGGGAGGGGGGACCTGGAATGAGGGGCGGGGGGCGCATCCGGCTTCTGGAGCCTCAGTTAACGGGGGAGGGGCAAAGCTGGAGCACCTCCTGTCACTGTGGCCCCCTAGAATGACTCGGACCCCGCCCTCCCCTGGCCCCTGTTGGACCGAGAGGAGGCCCCGCCCCCTCCCCCCTCCCGTTAGGTTTGATCCCACCCTGTTCCCTCTCCCATCCCTGGGACTGGGGAGGGGGGGCTTACGACACAAGTCACACTCTGCTCTGAGCGTGAGGAAGGGAGTACGGGGTTTGGGGAAACTGAGGCAGGGCGGGGTCCACTTTACCACCTGGGGCCTTTTAGTGTGGGCTATGGACTCCCTATCCCACTGCTTTGGGTGATCGTGTGACCTCCGAGCCAGCGGGCGCCCCTGGGTGATGCAGAGGGTACCCCAACCTCGGGGCTGCTGCTCATTCTCTAAGCAGGTGGGGATCACCCCAGAGGTCCCCCAGGGGCACAGGAACCCCCCCCAAGACCCTCCCTGGCACCTCCCCAGTTCTCAGGTTGCTGGAGCTCCCCGCCGTGTGTCTCTTTGCTGGTACAGGGGTCAGTGCCTGAGCTTTACTGGCCTGTGTGCAGGGAGGGGGGTCCCCAAGGCTTCCCCTCACACCCCTTAAGCTGTCCCTCAGTCTCCAGGCTGAGGGGCTCCTCCCACCCATGCTTGCAGCCCCCAGAGTTCTCCCAGCCACAGCCCGGGAGCCCCCCCCCCCCCCAGAGCCCCCACGCCTCCATCTACCCCCGCCCAGCTTACACCTTCTGAAGCTGCTCCCCTTCCCCCAAAATGCAGTGGGGGACTGCCCCCCAGCTGGCCCCTGTGAAGGTCATTGTCCCAGGCCATGACCTTGCGCCTGATGGTGAGGCCGTGACCTGTCGGTGTGGATGGATGGGGGGGGAGGCACTTGGTCCTGGGAATTTTTACGCACTGGAGGGGCAGCAGGGTGCGAGCCTGGCCCAGGGGCAGGAGGGTGCCCTGGGTTGTGATGCCCAGAACCTCAGCGGGGGCCGTGAGGTCCTGGTGACCTCCGGACCGACGGGGGTGCGCCCCCCCCCCCCATGAGTAAAAGTGCGGGTCCTGAGCAGTACAACACCCGGGAGGGTGCTGGCCTTGCACCCTGGTTGCCCCCAAGAGCCTCAGACTCCCCACCGTGCCCAGGCACTGACCAGCCTGGGTTCATTCCCAGACCCAGTAGGGAGCTCCGAGCACCACGAAGAGCACAGAGCCAGGAGTCACCCCAGAGCATCTCAGGTGTGGCCTTTATTTTTTTCATTTTGGGTCACACCCGGCGATGCACAGGGGTTACTCCTGGCTCATGCACTCAGGAATCACTCCTGGCGGTGCTTGGGGGGACCCTATGGGATGCTGGGAATCGAACCCGGGTCGGCCGTGTGCAAGGCAAACGCCCCACCCCCTGTACTATCACTCCAGCCCCTCAGGTGTGGCCTTAAAAAAAAAAAGTTCCAGGAGGTTGCAGAGTCGCCCCAGGCCCCTGGGCCCTGCAGGGGCAGTTACGGCCTGATCTGGGACTGCCCCCAGGGTGGGGGCGCCTTGGGGTGCTGCAGGGGCTGTTGAGAAACCTGGTTTTCCTGTACCCACATGGGGGCATCCTGACCTGAGTGGATAGCTTTGCACCCACCCCGTCCCTGCAGGGGGCTGGGGGGGCTTCCACCCCACCCCACACTGTGGTGGGACCTGGGGTCACCGGAAGGGCAGAGCTGCTTTATTTTTTAATTTTTAATTTAATTTCTTTTTTCTTTTTGGGTCATATTCAGCAATCCTCAGGGGTTCCTCCTGGCTCTGTTCTTAGGAATTACTCCTGGCAAGTGCTCGGGGGACCATATGGGATGCTGGGGATTGAACCCGGGTCGGCCGCATGCAAGGCAAACGCCTTCCCCGCTGTGCTATCGCTCCCGCCCCTGTGGGTAGAGCTACTTTAAGCTCTGCTTTGGGGACTGCTCCATCTCCTGCACCTGCTCCCCCCAGCAAGGGTCCAGCCGGGAGCCCCATGTCCCCTCGGCAGCCTCAATCGAGCAAGCTGTCACCACCCAGGGTGGGATCTGGGCCATGGGGGGACACTGGTTGGTTGTCCCGAAGAGCCTCAGACTCCAGTCACCCGGGCATAGGACTCCCCGCTGTACCCAGGCACTGCACAAGCCAAGTCCCACGCCTGGCTGTGCTCAGGGATCACTCCTGCTGGGCTCAGGGGACCTTGTGGGATGCTGGGGATGGGACCAGACGCCCCCTCCCCACTGTCCTGTCTGCTCTGACCCCCACTCCCGAGCCTCCCCATGTGCCCAGCTGTGCCAGCCACTCTGTCCCCTGCTGTTAGGCCACCCCATCTGTCACCTACGGGGCAGGATGCGGTGCAGAGTGGTGTCCCGGCCCAGGCCCCCTGAGGGTTCGGGGGGCCATAGCCTGGCTCCTTTCACCAGCTCCCCTATGCCTGGCTTGGCGGCCTCACCCTGAGCAGGGACCCAGTGGGGTGTCCCCATGTGAAACCTTCACCCTGTGGATGGGTGGGACCTGGGTGTCACAGGGGAGGGACCTCAGGTTCAAGAGCGGGCTGCCAGCCTTTAGCCCTTTCTCCAGGGGTGTGAACTCCCCCACCCCCCAGAGTGTACCCCAGCCTCAGGATTCCAGAAGTGAGAAAGCTGTTTGGGTCCTGGCTGGTGCAGTCAGGGTGGACTTCCTGGAGGGAGGGAGCCCTCCGCTGCAACTTCCAGAGGGAAAGGGAAGTAGAGGAAGGGGGCGGACCCCAGTTCTGGCGGAATGTGGCACTGGAGGGTTCTAGAACATAGGGAGAAAGCAGCCCCTGGGCCAGAGCCATAGGATGGGGGGTGTAGGGTGTTTTGCCTTGCCTCAACCCCAGTTGGATCTCAGGTACCACACAGGGTCCCGAGCACCACCAGGAAGTAACCTCTGAGCATTGCTGGGTGTGGCCCCCCAGATAAAAACCCTGCCGGGCCACAGCACTCCACCCTGAGCCCAAGCCTGTAAGATCCCTCCTCTGGCTCTTGGGTGTGCAGCGAAGCTTCTGGAGAACCCCACACTTGACTTCCAAGCGCCTCTGGGGGGCGTGGTCAAACAGAGGCCCCGCCCCTACGGGGAGCTGGCATTGTGCAGGCGCGGCCCAGGGGTGGACATCCCAGTGGAGTGACCACAAGCCCTGGACCACCCTCCTATCCATGCCAGTGACAAAGCTAGGACCCTGTTTTTGCCAATTAGGTCCCCTTGTGTGGTTTGGGGGTGGGGAGGGCTCCCGAATTTCCCAAGGTGGTCACAATTCACCCCAACAGGGTCCTCAAAAAAATGGAAGCGGGGCCAGAGCCCTGGGATGTCCGGGCGGGCGCTTGCCTTGCACGCAGTCGACCCCAGTTCAATCCCCGACACCCCATAGGGTCCCCAGAGCGCACCAGGCGTGATCCCTGCGCAACGTCGGGTTTGGGCCCCACTCCCCCCCCCCCAAAAAAAAAGCGCAAACCCATTTTCACAGCCTCTCCCAGCCCAGGACCCCAGAGGAGAGACCGTGGCAAGGGCAGGGGTGTGCCTGAGATGAGACGGGGAGGGTCTCACCCTGCGCCCTCTCCCGCCCCACCCCAGGGTGCAAGATAAAAGCCCTGCGCGCCAAGACCAACACGTACATCAAGACGCCGGTGCGCGGCGAGGAGCCGGTGTTCATTGTGACCGGCCGGAAGGAGGACGTGGAGATGGCCAAGCGCGAGATCCTGTCGGCGGCCGAGCACTTCTCCGTGATCCGCGCCACGCGCAGCAAGGCCGGCGGGCTGCCCGGCGCGGCGCAGGGGCCCCCGAACCTGCCGGGCCAGACCACCATCCAGGTGCGCGTGCCCTACCGCGTGGTGGGGCTGGTGGTGGGGCCCAAGGGCGCCACCATCAAGCGCATCCAGCAGCGGACGCACACGTACATCGTGACGCCGGGCCGCGACAAGGAGCCCGTTTTCGCCGTCACCGGGATGCCCGAGAACGTGGACCGCGCGCGCGAGGAGATCGAGGCGCACATCACGCTGCGCACCGGCGCCTTCCCGGACGCGGGCCCCGACAGTGACTTCCACGCCAACGGCACCGACGTCTGCCTGGACATCCTGGGCGCCGCGGCCGCCGGGCTCTGGGCCAAGGCCCCCAACCCGGGCCGGCGACCCCCGGCGCCCACCAGCGGCCTCCGAGGGGACGGGGCCCTGGGCGCCCCGGGGGGGCCCGAGGCCTTCTACGCGGGCGGCCGCGCCGGGGTCCCGGTGCCCGACGCCGGCCCCCCCCAGCCCCTACAGCGGCTCGGGCAACGGGGGCTTCACCTTCGGCGGGGACGGCCCGGGGGCCCCCACGGGGCCGCCCCCCGCCGAGGACTGTGACTTCGGCTTCGACTTCCTGGCGCTGGACCTCACGGTGCCCGCCGCCACCACCATCTGGGCCCCCTTCGAGCGCACGGCGCCCCTGCCCGCCTTCAGCGGCTGCTCGACGGTCAACGGGGCCCCCCCGACGGCGCCGGCCGTCCCGGGCGCGCGGCGGAGCAGCGGGGGCGCCACCCCGCGCCACTCGCCCACGCTGCCCGAGCCCGGCCCGCTGGCCCTGGAGCTGCCCCTGGCGCGGCGTGGCGCCCCGGATCCGGTGGGCGCCCTGCCCTGGCGGCCCGCCCAGGCCTCGCTGACCACCTTCCCCGGCGGCGGCGGCGGCGGAGGCACCGGCTTCTCCGCAGCATCCACCACGTTGCCTAGCAACTCCGGGGCCGGCTCGTGCGCGGCGCCCCTGGACTCCATCACCGCCGCCGAGAGTGGCCGCAAGGCCCCGGGGGGTGGCGGCGGGGCCCGGGGCGGCGGTGGCTTCGTCCACGACGCCCTCCAGCCCCGCAGCCCCGCTCCCGCCCCCCGCCGCGGCCGCGGCCGCCGCCGCCCTGGCCCGGGAGTGCGTGGTGTGCGCCGAGGGCGAGGTGATGGCCGCGCTGGTCCCCTGCGGCCACAACCTCTTCTGCATGGACTGTGCGGTCCGCATCTGCGGCAAGAGCGAGCCACAGTGTCCGGCCTGCCGCACGCCGGCCACCCAGGCCATCCATATCTTTTCCTAGCGAGGTCACCACGTGGCCGTGGCCCACCCCACCCCCCCGAGGGGGAGGGGGGCGAGGACTTGGTGGGGGTGGGGGGGAGGAGGGGACACGCCGCGCGCGCGCTCCCCGCGGCCTTGGCCACTTCGACGACGACGACGGGGCGCGCGGGGTGGAGCGGGGAGGGGGGGGGCGGGCAGAGGGGCAGGTGGGAATTGGGGTGGGGGGGCTGCGGCTTGGCCCAAGTCCACAGACGGAAGAACTTTAACTCCCGTGCCAAGCGTGGAGACGACCCAGCGGCACCGCAGCTATTAAACGGCAGTATTGAGTCTATAGGTTCCAATAAACCACGAAGCAAAGACCCGTTTTGCACTTTTTTTTTTTTTTAATTTAAGACGTCAAGGTGGGGGGGGCCTCCGGCGCACCCCGGCCGTGACCTTGGTGCCTCCGCCTGGTTCCTTCACCCTTTTCCCTCCTCGCGGCCCTTGGGGACCTGCCTGGGGTGATCTTTGTAAGGAGAGAGACACCCCCTTAGCCGGGCGTCACCGCCTTGTTTTTTTTTTTTTCCCCCATTTTTGTACAAACGGAGCCACAGTGCTACTCCGAACTCAGTGCCCGCACCTTCCAGCTCTGGGACCGTTTTTACTCCCTTTGCGATGAACCCCAAAACCTTTTGTATATGCAGGTGCCGGTTAGAGGGGGGGGAGCAGGGAGGGGCCCAGGGGGCGGCAGTCCCCTGGAAATGTCTTGTGTTTCTGCAACCCCTTCAGATGTGGGTTTTTGGTGTTTTTTTTTTTTTCCGTTATTGGTTTTGTTTTGTTTTTTAATTTTTTACAATTTTTTTTTTTTTAGAAAAAAAAACGTTTACTTTTTACCTCTTGTGTATATGTAGGGAATTTATAGGGAAATATGTACTTTATGGAATAAAATTTTAAGAACTAAAATATATTTTATTTTAAATAAAGTAACGGACCTTTAATCTTACACAGCTAAAGTACTGATTATATATTTGCTGAACTGAATTAAGGGTTAAGAAAATTGTATCAAGAGTTTTATTTTTTTGACTTCAAAGCCCTTCTTAATAAAGTCTTTTTACTATGTGTGAGCCCTTGGCGTGGTCTGGGGTGGGTGGGGGTGCTCATCCAGGTCTCGACCCCCCACTTTCCAGTCGCAGACGTCGGGGCTCTGGGTACCCGTGTTCCTGGGTCTAGGCAAGAGTTGGATATTGGCCTGTTTGAGGAAGCCCATGGGGTGGGGCCCGATCCATAGCACAGCGGGGAGGGTGTTCGCCTTGCACCTGGAGGACCCAGGTTCGATCCCCCGCATCCCACAGAGTTCCCAAGTCCCACCAAAGTGATCCCTGAGTAAAGTGGCCCAAAAGCAAAACAGTCCATGAGGGTGGAGAGAAGGTGGTCTGGCGAAGCACCCTGGGGATGGTGGCTCTGAAAACCTCGGTTGTTGGGGGCGGGGGAGGGCAGTGTCTCAGAAACCAGGGACTGAGCGATAGGACATCAGGGAGGGCACTGGCCTTGCACATGGCCGACCCAGGTTCAATCCCAGCATCCCATTAGGATCCTTGAGCCCGCCAGGAGTAATTACTGAGCACAGAGACTGGAGTCAGCCCTGAGCACTGGTGGGTGTGGCCCAAAACAAATTTAACTCCACACTAAGCCCAGGCTTGAGGCTGGATAGAGGAGCTGGAATGAATGAATGAATGAATGAATGAATGAATGAATTTCACTTTTGAGGGGTTGGAGGGCAGGGAGGATGCTCAGGCTAGTGCAAGTGCAGCTAGCCTGCTCAGAGCCCCCCATTGGGTCCAGGATGACATCACTCGATCTTTGTGGGGTGTCCCCCACCCTCAGGGCTGCCCGTTCATGTCCACACCCCCGGCAGTATCAGAGAGGTCAAACTTAGATGAGGGAAGCTGCATTTCTGACAACAGGAGCTGGAGCGATAGGACAGTGGTGTGTGTGTGTGTGTGTGTGTGTGTGACTTGCCTTGCATGCAGCTGGCCTGGATTTGATCCGAGCGATAGGACAGTGTGGTGTGTGTGTGTGTGTGTGTGTGTGACTTGCCTTGCATGCAGCTGGCCTGGATTTGATCCGAGCACCCTGCAGGGTGCCCCCCACTCCCACCTCCCGCCCAGAGATCCCTGAGTGAAGAGCCAGGAGTAAGCCCTGAGCCCCGGCCCCAAAACAAAAACGGTACAGAGACTTGCCTTGCACACAGCAGACTCGGGGGGCAATCTTTGGCGCTCTTTAGGGTCCCCTGAGCACCACCAGTGATTTCTGAGTGCAGAGCCAAAGGTAAGCTCTGAGCTGGGTGGGGCCCCAAACCCACCAAAAGGCAGTAGACGTGTATAAACTAGAATCTAGTTGCTTAATGCCCTCATCCTATCACAAGAACCTCAGAAATGGAGCCTGGAGGGACTGGAGCGATAGGACAGTGGGAAGAGGTTTTGCTTTGCATGCAGCTCACCCAGATTTGATTCCAGCACCCTGTAGGGTCCCCTGAGCACAGAGATGGAGTAAGTCTCCAAAACCAACCAAGAAATGAGGACCAGAAAGACAGTTCAATTGTCTAAGCCTGTGGGGCTGGAGCGATAGCACAGCGGGTAGGGTGTTTGCCTTGCACAAGCCGACCTAGGTTTGATTCCTCCACCCCTCTTGGAGAGCCCGGCAAGCTACCGAGAGTATCCAGCCCGCATGGCAGACCCTGGCAAGCTCCCTCATGCGTAATCAATATACCAAAAACAGTAGCACTGTAGCACTGTCCTCCCATTGATCATCGATTTGCTTGAGCGGACTCAGTAACGTCTCCATTGGAGACTTTGTTGTTACTGTGTTTGGCATATCGAGTACGTCACGGGGAGCTTGCCAGGCTTTGCTGTGCAGGCGAGATACTCTCGGTACCTTGCCAGGCTCTCTGAGAGGGGCGGAAGAATCGAACTTGGGTCGACCATGTGCAAGGCAACCGCCCTACCCACTGTGCTATCACTCCAGCCCGACCAAAGACAGTAACAAGTTTCACAATGGAGACATTACTGGCACCCACTCGAGCAACTCGATGAACAACGGGCGGGCAGTGCCACAGTGCAGTTTCGTTGTGGGGTCACACTTGGTAATGCTCAGGGCTTGCTCCTGGCTCTGTCAGGGGTAAGTCCTGATGGGGCTTAAGGGATTGAGCCTGGGTCGGTCATGTACAAGGCAAGTGCTCTCTCTGCCTGCTGTACTCTCTCTCCAGACTCGTCAAAATAATATATTTATTATCTACCGCCTCCACCCCAGCTCCGGGGCTCCGTGTGGGCCGCTTCTCCTGGCCTCCTCATGGGTCCCAGGCAGGGCTAGCAGCGCCCGGAGCTCCTCCAGGCGGGGTTATTTCTACTCGGGAGAACTGTCCTGCATTGGCTCTGGCTGTGCTGTCTCTGTGCAGTGGGGACCCGCCAGCACAGGATTTGGTGGTGCATCCGTCTTCAAGGGCACTAAGTGGTTCTTGATTCTCCGCTCCAGGCCTGCAGTGTGTTCAGAGTGACCCTCCATGGGGTTGGAGCGATAGCACAGCAGGTAGGGCATTTGCCCCACACACAGCTCACCCGGGTTCGATCCCCAGCATCCCATAGGGGTCCTCCGAGCACCACCAGGAGTAATTCCTGAGTGCAGAGCCAGGAGAAACCCCTGTGCATCGTCAGGTGTGACCCAAAAAGAAAAAAATTTAAAAAACAATGAAAATAAAGGGGGTCCAGAGCAATAATGCAGCGGGGAAGGCATTTTTCTTGCATGTGGCCGACCCGGGTTCAATCCCCAGCATCCCATATGATCCCCCGAGCACCACCAGGAGTAATTCCTGAGTGCAGAGCCAGAATCTCCTGAGTGACCCAAAAAATAAAAAAGAAAGAAAAAGAAAACAAAAGAGTGACCCTCCGTGGCAACTGGACTTTCACCTGCTGACCACCGGGCTGCAGGACCTTTTCCTCCAAGGGCTCAGACAGGGAGCTCTTGGCAACCCGGCCAGTGGTGGGAATATCCTCGGTCACTGCCAGAGCTGGAGACGGATTCGTATGAGGGGTGGTCATGCAGGGGCCACCGGGGTCTTAGCTTCTGCCACAGGGGATCTCCTCTCCCAACCGGGGTCCTGGGGAAGATGCCCGGGGTGTCTGGCTCTTGGCTTTGTTGGCTGTCTCGGGAGTCCCCAAGCTCACAACTGACTTCTCTTTCAGAGGGACCTTCAGCTCATCCTTGTCAAAGGTGATGAAGGAACAGTGGCCATCCGCAGAGGAGATGGCCAGCAAAACCCCGTCACTGGACCAGGACACGTCACTCAGAGTGTGGTAGCGAATGCTGGACACGTAAGCCAACATTCCCAGCATTCCCAAAGGAAGGGTTGCTGGGAGTCACAGAGGAGTCTTCGGTCGCCTTGGCAAACACTAGGTGATGGGGCAAGGCTACTGATTCCTGTTCCCACCCCACTGACAACCTGTCTGCTTCAAGCCCAGGTCTCGCTCAAAGTAGACAGGACAGCAGCGGACAGCCGTGGGGTTTTCCCAGGACACGGGAGATGGGCGCTAGGCCTTTGGAGATTTTTTTTCTTTTCGGGTTACACCCGGCGATGCTCAGGGGTTACTCCTGGCTCTGCACTCAGGAATTACTCGTGGTGGTGCTCAGGGGACCATATGGGATGCTGGGAATCGAACCTGGGTCAGCCGCGTGCAAGGCACACGCCCTACCCGCTGTGCTATCCCTCCAGCCCCATGGCCTTTGGAGATTCTTCCTGGAGAACACGAACGTCCTGTTGGTGACATTCTCCCCGGACTCCACACAGCCAGCTGGTGCGAGGAGCTACGTCCCGTCAGGTTTCGTGCTGTCATCGTGGAACATTTGGTAGGTGCGCCCTCGCCTTCAGCCCGTCCCAAGCCACACGCTTCCTTTGGGTGCTGTACACGCTCAGGATCCTGCCCCAGCTCAGGGTGGCAAGGTACTGACCCAGAGGGTCCCGGGCCACTCCCTGTACGGAATTATTTTTTT